CTAATCTAAATCTCCCCTCTTTCAGTTTAAAACTGTTCCCCCTCATCTTGTTGCTACACTCGCTGATAAAGAGTCCCTCCCCATGTCTCCTGTAGGCTCCCTTTAGGGACTGAAAGCAGAAAGTCTGAGGCACTGTCTGGTGGGAAATCCAGCCCCATCCCTGCCACCAGTTCTTCTGTGGGGTCTGCAGAGACAACGACCCCGGCAGCAGCTTTTCCTGCCTGTCGCAGCTCTGAATCTTGTTGGAGTATCGCAGGGCTTGCAGTGCAGCCCTTCATCCCCGTGCCCCCAGCTTTCACAGCAAGGCTGTGGTTGCAGCCCACGCCGCTGGGAAGCCACCACGGCCGGGCATTAAACACACCCTCTGGTTTGCAGAGAGGACATCGGCAGAGCGCGTGGGGAGAAGTGGCTTCCTGCCATGCGAGAGGTTAATGGACAGATTAGAGAGGGCAGGCGCTGCTTGCGACGAAAGGGAAGGAGCTCTGCCTTTACAGAGTTCAGCAGCTCCATGAGGCGACGGGGAAGTAAATATTTGCCAGGATTAAGGAGGCTGCGTGCAGGAGCCCAGGGAGAAGTGCCCGTGCAGGGGCAGCGTGTTGCTCAGGCTGTTTTCGGTGTTGGGCAGGGTTTGAGAGCTGGACATCAGCCCGGGGGAGGACGGAGGGGGACACCCCACAGCCAGAGGCACTGCCCAAAGCCTCAGGGCAGAAAAAAGCCTTTAATGCTCCCTTGATGGCTTTGTTTTCCTCTGCTGCCTTTCTTGCTTTCTCAATTGGCCCGACCGGGCTGGCCCACATCCAAAGACAGCATTACGGAGCGCCGGATCGATTGGAGCCTGCAATTTTATTTGCTCTCTTTAAGAGCCTTTGATGGGCAGGATGAGCTGTGCTGGCGAGCGCCTTTCCTGGGAGAGGAGAGGAGAGGAACAGCATTGCAAGCCACCATCTCCCATAGGGAGATGGGGACCCTGCCACCAGCTTGGAGAAGACACCGTGGTAGGGTGGGCAAAGAGAGACCTCCCGATGCACCATGGCAGCTGAGAAGGAGCTTGCAGCCCTCTCCTTCGTGGCATCTGGTGGTCATGGTCACTGTCACCCACATGGTGTCGTGGTCACAGCCCCAGGTGGCACACCGCACTGGCCCTGCACTCTCCTGTGGGGTGGACTTTCTGCCCATCAAGGTGGAAGGTGGGACAGTTGTGTGAGATTGCCCTCTCAAAATGCCTGTGGCTCTGGGACTGGCAGCTCTTTGGAGAGATGGAGGTGGCAGGAGTGTCCCCGTGAGACAGCTTGTCCCTGACCAGAAAGAGAGGGTGAATACTGGTGCAAAACAGGCTTTATAGAGCAGCACCCCTTCAGCTGCAGCAGGCACCAGGGTGGCAGAGATACGAGGGTCGTTTTGTCCCCCTTCCCCAGCCTCTCCTTCCACCTCTGGATCAGAGGTAGAGGATGCTCTGCGGACAATGCATTTGGAGCCCCCCAGTCTTGGAGCAGAGGACAGGGTCTTCAAGGCATTCAAGCTTGTGAAAATGGGGCATCTTCAAAGGCTGCTGCAGACTTGGGATGATAGCGGGAGGCAGTTTGGGCAGCCCCACTTCTCCCAGCCAAGCAAACCCAGGGGCACCAGCCCACTGCATCTGGTGGAGGAATTAGCACAGATCATCAAGAGACAGATCCGGCATAATAGGGGAGACAATGGAGATAAATTATCCTTGGATGGACTAATTGCGGGTCAGTATCAGTGAAGCATCTGGGGCCGTGCAGGTAGAGCAGAGCCTCCTCATCAGCCAGGGACCGTGCAGGACTTCGGGGATGCTCACCAAAGCCTCGGCCCCCTCTACCTGCCTTCCCGGCTGGCTCCTGGTGTTGTGCTGAGCACAAGCAGTGGGCACGAGTGCACAAATGCCAATGGGCAAAAAAGCCCCAGAGTGGCACCCCCCAGCATCCTCCCTGCCCCATGCAGTATCTCCAGCCCCAGCCTGGTTTGCCTGGTGCCAGGCGGGTGCTGTTAGCTCACACTGCCACCACGCGGTCGCTGGGACCCCAAAGGCTGTCACTAAATCCCCTGCACCCCTTCAACCCCTCCAAAACAACCTCCCGGGACCCCCCCACCCCTCTGTTGTTCCCTGCAAAGGGAGGTGCTGACCTGCCTTTGTCTCCTGCCTCATCCCAGGGGCAGCTGTGGGGCAGGGAAGGGGTTAAGGAGGCGGCAAAGAGGAGGAGGAGGATGGAGCTGTAGCAGGGATCAGGCCCTTGCCTCTGGCCTTGCGATTAGCCACTCTGTTTTGCTGCGGAGGGTCTGCTTGAATAATTTAGCTGGGAGGCTCATTAACCAAGCTCTGGCCTTCGTCTGCCGGCTGAAGGCTGAAATAGCCATTAGGAGGAACACACGTTGCAGACCAGCACAGCCTCCTCTCCCTGCTGGCCCCCTCCTCTCCCTTCTCTTCCTCCCTTTCCCTCTCCTTTTCCTCTTCTCTCTCTCTCTTCCTCTCTTTCTCCCTCTCCTCTCCCTCTTCTCTTCCCCATCCCTCTCCTCTCCCTCTTCTCTTCCCCACCATTCTCCTCTCCTCTCCTCTCCTCTCCTCTCCTCTCCTCTCCTCTCCTCTCCTCTCCTCTCCTCTCCTCTCCTCTCCTCTCCTCTCCTCTCCTCTCCTCTCCTCTCCTCTCCTCTCCTCTCCTCTCCTCTCCTCTCTCCCATCTCTCCCTCTTCCCTTCTTGTCTCCTTTTCTCTTTCCCTCTTCCCCTTCTCCTTCTCCTTTTCCTTTCCCTTCTCCTCTTCCTCCTCCTACCCCTCTCGCTCTCCTTGCTCCCTGGCTCTGCTGCCCTTGGCTTTCTTGCCACCTGCTTGTACCTTCTCCAGCCCTGCCCAGGGGCAAGCCCCATGCCTCAGTTTCCCCTCTGCAGACTGCAGTAGGGGGCTGCGGCTGAAACTCATGGCATCCCTCTGGGAAGCTATTTTAGCAAAACCCATACACATTTTCTGGCTATGGGCTCTGCTGTGCAATGCCTAGCCAGGATCGCAGAGGCCCACCCTGTCAGTCCATGCTCAGGGCAAACCAGCTGGTCTCCAATGGCCAGGTTATTGTTGCCCATCAGGCTCCTGCTCTAGTCCTAGACACCACCAGGAGACCAGCAGCTCTGCAGGACTATGCACCATGTGGGGGATTTGCACTGACGTGGCTGCAGGGTATCTCATTTTGCATTGTCTTGAGGCTTTGGTGTCCTCCTGGTGCTGCTGGCTTGGCGGTGCAGCAGGGGAACCCTTAGCTGACTCGCTGCATCCCTTGCTGCTCCAGCATGGCATGTAGAGGGATGCTAGGCTGCCACACAGTTTCCCTGCACCAACATCAGCATGGGCTGCTGCGTACAAGACATGTCGATTCAATATTAGGAAGAAATCATTTATTGTGAGGGTGGTGAGGCACTGGAACAGGTTGCCCAGAGAAGCTGTGGCTGCCCCATCCCTGGAGGTGTTCAAGGCCAAGCTGGATGGGGCTTTGAGCAACCTGCTCTAGTGGGAGGTGTCCCTGCCCCTGGCAGGGGGGTTGGAACTCGATGATCTGTAAGGTTTCTTCCAACCTAAACTGTTCTATGATTCTGTGTTTCATGCGTGGTGCTGTGGGTTCTTCCAACCTAAACTGTTCTATGATTCTGTGTTTCATGCGTGGTGCTGTGGGACTTGTGATTTGCCCTTGCAGCCCTCAGAGGAAGGAGTTTCCAAGCCTGAGGGTGCTCCCTGAATTCTTGCATCCTGGTTTGCATCTCCTTTTTGGTAATGGTCATGGGTCAGGCATCTGCCTTAGTGGCAGGGAGGAGGGGAGCTAGCCATGTGGTGGGATGGTGAGCATCAATGCTTGCACTAAAGCTGGCAGATTTGCCAGGTTTGTTTGAAAACCTTTGCTTGGGGAGAAGAGCGCGTCCTGAGACCTCCTGGGTGGATACATGGGGACGATGCCTAAAGAAGGAAGGGAGAAGAGGGACCACCACAGCTTCAGACAGCCTTTCTAAGGGAACCCTGGTGCTCATCCAGACCAGGGAGTGTATTTTAGGGCAAAGTACTGTGCCAGGGAGGCTGAAGTTAGAGCCAGACTCTGCTCTTAGCAATGCAAGTGCCCAGAGAGGACCTACCAAGAGTAGTTGACTTCAGTGTCGGTTCAGATAAGACTTTTACCAACCTACAGGGGCAAAATTTATCATCCTTCTGCACTCACTGGCCCTTCATGTTTTGCAGAGTCTTCCTGCAGCTCTGGCTGTGCTCCTGCAGAGAGCACAGACAGCACCCATGTCCAGGAAAGCCAAGTGCAGTGTGAGCACTTGGTTTGGTTTAAAATCCTCTCCTGTCTCTAACCTCTAGGACCAGCTGATAAGGCCAGAGTAGGCTGCTCCCCACTGCATGCTCTTGTCCTGTCTCCAGTTGCCTCCATGTCCTTTGGGAAGCAGAGCCCTGGGGTGGGGTGCTCTGCCCTGGTGCTGGAAGCATGAACACTGCCAGTCCTCATGGAAAGCTGAATTTTCACTGATGGTTTCAGGTTGTTCCTCCTCACCTTGCCATAAGTGGTCCTTCTTCCTCCCTCTGAGGTCTTTTGGAGGGTCATCCAAGGAGTTCATCACTCTCCAGGGAGGTGGCAGAGAGAGCCATGAGCATGGTAGCTTAATGGGGTCAAGAGAGCAGCACCTCCTCCCCATCAGCCATGTCTTGAAGACAGTTTCCCCCAGTACCTGCCAAGCTCCTCTGCCACTCCATCTCTCATTAGAGCCAGTGAGCTGCCAGGGGAGAAGAATAAACTGCTGTGCACAGCTAAAGCAAGATCTCATGGGGGAGAGATGGGGCAAAGGGCCCCCAGATGCTTCAAGAAGCTGATTAACACAGAGCAGCCTCCCCTTGCAAACTGTGTCCCCTCCTGAGCTGGCAGCAGTTGTGAGTGGAGGGACATCTCCTTGTTCAGGACCTGGTGATAACCCCACCTCAATGGATAATTGCTCTTTCTCTTTCCCTGGCAGCCCCCCCGAAGGAGCCAGTGCTGATGTGCCGGTCCAACAGCTACCCAAAGGGTTTCTACTGCAGCTGGCACCTGCCCACCCCCACCTACATCCCCAACACCTTCAACATCTCCGTCATGTAAGTGCCTGGGAAGGAAGGGTGCTGAGGGGTGAGTTTTTGTCCTTGCAGCCTGGAGCAGGTCCTGAGCCCAAGTAGTGCCATGAAATCTTGGGGCAGTGGGTCTGACCTGTGCTGAGGGTATGGGGTTGGTGTCCCAAAAATGCGCTGGGGAAGGATGCTCCAGGGACATCCAAACTGAAAGCTTGTCACTGGGGCTTTGTTCCAAGAAAGTTCCAGTTCCCCCAGAGGGGACCAGGAAAATCCTCAGGTCCCGTGTCCCCTTTCCATTCCCCCCAGGTCTGTCCTCTATGCACCACTTGTCCACAATAGAGGTTGTGCCCTCTGGTTTTTGGTGCTCTGGCACAGCTATGCTCCCCTTTGCTGTACACTGGCTGTGGCCAAGCAGCAACAGTGTCCTTCACCTAGAGCTGGCATTGTCCCCCAACCCCCAAAGCGGGTCCTGGCATAGCTCTTGTACAGGCTGGTGCTGTGCACCATCTTCTGCGGCTTTTGTCACCAGCAGAAAGGAGACCTCTCACAGGAGGGGCAGAGCCAACCCCAACCCACCAGGGTCTCATCCTTTCCTTGGGGCCACCGTGAGGACATTCACCGCGGTCTCTGTGCAGGCTTAGGATAAAACATCACACACATGAGCCTACAAAATTCCCTGGCAGGAGGAAAGCAGCCCTTTGGCCGTAGCTTGGGGACCACAGGCAGAGAGGAGATACAGTGCTGCTCCTTCTGTCTCCTCCCTCCAGCATCACGGGTGCATCCCCACCCCAAGCCCTGCTCTGTAGGTAACAGCTTTTCTCATGTCTCCTTTCCAGACACGGCACAAAAGAGATGGTCTGCGAGAAGGATGTCTTTCCCAAAAACAGGTGTCACATCAAATACCTCCAGCTCTTCTCGACGGTGAAGTACAAGGTGACTCTGACAGTCACGAATGCTCTGGGCAAAAACTCCACCACTCTCACCTTTGACGAGGTCGCCATAGGTAACTTCCGCGGCAGCAACTGGCCTCTCCGAGACGGTGTTGGGGTTGGCTTGCTCTGCATGCAGTGTCGCCCACCAGAGTGATGGGCCAGGGAAGGGGTAGTCTCTCCAAGTGGAGCCTCTGTCTATCCATGCATGAGATGGAGCCAGGGTCTGAGCCACCCTGGTATCCTCCCGTGAGCCCTCCTGATTCTTATGGCCCTACTGTAACTGATGTCAGCATCTGAGCATCCTGGAGGAACCAGGCAGAATGCCTACAGGCAGCCCACACGCTGGTCCTGGTGGTGGCCTAGTGCCCTGCCTGGTTCCATCCCCAGTGGTCCAGGTCTCCCATGGTTGCTGAGCTCATCCCTGCTTGGGGCTGGGGAAAAGGCTGACATGAACCAGGGCAGAAGGCTGTGAAACTGGTGTGGTCCAAATGGCATATCCCTTCTTGCCCCTGGGAGTTTTCCTAAAAGAGAGGTTTGGTGTTTGTGCTGGAAACAAAGTCATGGGAATTAGGACTGAAAGAGAAATTAAAATGTCTCATTCTCTTCCCCCTATCCCTAGTCAGCATGAAGCCCTCCCAAAGTCATCCTCCACCAGCCCTTGCCTAACATGCTCCTAAAAACCCTATTCCTCTTTTACACCTCTTCTCTGCCCACATGGGCAATGGAAGCTGTATGACATGGGACAAGGAGCAGTAGGCACTGGGAGATGGGGTGTCCATACCACCAGCTGTGCCACAGGGATACTCCTGACCACATCGGGGCCCATGGTGAGGATGCTCCTGTGACTGTGAAGGACTGGTGTGGGCTGAGCAATTCAGTGCCGAGCACGGCAAAGCAGGGAGCTGGGCACCAGCGCTTTTGCCACCAGCCAAAGCCAGATTACAGCCAGTGCTGTGACAAGACCGTCCATCCTCAAAGAGCAGGAAAAATGGGAGAGAATAGAGTTCAGGAACGCGTCGAAAAACAATTTGCTGGTTACATGTGGCAATTACTGGACCAGAAAAACAAATAAATGAATCCTTGAAGTGCAGCCAGCAGTCAGTCTTTGCCTTCGATGTGTTGCATGTCCCAGTCCTGAGCAGCTGGAAGTGCTGGAGCGCAAGAAGAGGAGCTCCACTACCACAGATTTTCTCTTTCTACCCCAAATCCTGGAAAACATCAAACAAGAAACAAGGTGCCAGCTCTGAACAAAGCAGGGAAGTTATTTTGGAGCAGGGACTGTCCTGCCATGTCCCTGCAGCCATGGTGCATATCTGAAGCTCGTATTTGTTGGTGCATTGAAAACATTGACAACAAGACAAGGAGTTTGGCAGAGAAGTGGTGGAGTTTCAGTCACTTGGGTGCCTTTAAGTGGAAATTGTTGTGTTTGTGGAAGATACACTCCTTAAAAATGAAGGTAACCTCCAGCCTGCAGGGCCCAGGGCAGCAATTAAGCTGCATTTTCTGAGTTCCTTGCATTCCCTCCTGCAGGAGTTCAGGGCATCGTCCTGTAACATCTGCATCCCACCCATGCCCTGCCTGGCTTCACAAACATCTGGCCCTCCATCTAGCACACAAGGGCAACCCCCCAGGGAAGCACACCCAGCTGCAAGCCCCGGGCATCCCGGCACCAGCACAAGCCGGATTCAGCCCAGCAGTTTGAACTCAGCCTGGGTTCAGAGGAGCGGTGGTGAGCAGGAGTACAGGGTTCCAGGACACATCCCAGTGGATGTGGTGGGAGGTGAGACCCTCAGCCCCACCTGGCAGATGCCCTAACACCCTCCAAGATGGCACTTGGGGAAGGGGTGATGGGCTGGAGCTGATAGGAAGGGTTGTGTCCTGCACCCTGTGACCAGCCCCCTCCCATAAACACTTTAGTGGCCTTAAGATCTCAGTGTTCTGTACAGCTGTGAAATTCTCCTACTCAGGAATCGGTACAGCTGCTGTAGGTATGAAGCATAGACACGATGGTGATGCAGTGTTCAAGCAGACAGTCGGCAGGCTTAGCAGAGTCATCACGGGATGAACTCAGCTGCCACCGATCAACAGCCGCCTGCCCTGAACAGAGCTTCTCCTTGTGCCATCGGGGTGTTTCCAATTAAAATAAGTGCACTGCGTTTGTGTATTTTTCCATGAGATTTTGCCCCAGGTTACCAGCTCTCCTTGCAGAAGCTTCTGCATTTCAGCATCTCTTTTGGGGCTGCGAATCCAGGGCTGTGTCCCAGTGTGGTGGGTGCTGGTGGTGTGGATCTAGCACCTGGTAAGGTTCCTTGGGGACCTTGACCAGCATCAGCTGGATTGTGACTTCATCTTGGAAGTTGTGCTGGGTTTCGCTCTGCTAATTGAAGGGGTGGAAAACCTATGGCTCAAGACAAAGCCTTTGCATCATCTCGTCGGAAAAAGTGCTGCATGGGAGCATTGCGACATGGGCCAGCGTCCTGCTACAGTGGAGAGACAGTGTCAACCAGTGACTGCATGATGCTTCTCCTAAAATCCCAGGGCTGGGGATGACAGAGCCTACCCCTTATCCTAGAGGAAACCATCACACCTTCTGCATTGATGTTAAACCCCAGGCGTGAAGTCCTGATCTCATGCCCTGCTGGGGATGGAGCAGCCTGGAGCCCATGCAGGGCCATCTGAGCCAGGAGCAGACCCACCATTGGGTCAGACCACCCACCCAGCCTGGGCAAGCACAAAAAGCCCCCTGGGGAAGGAGTGACCTCCTTTGGTTTTGCTTCCTCTCTCCTTCCTCCCTCCCTGCAGCCCCCAGCAGAAAATCCCTTCCCCAGCCGCTCAGAAGATGGGCTCTAATTGAGTGGAAAATGACTGGTACTTTCTTTTGCTATCTGGAGCCCATGCCTTGCTGGCGGTCGTGCCGTGCTGGTTATTAGCAGCCAGCTGCGAGGGGTCACTCTGCATTGTCATTTTCAGTGGTGACTGGAAACATATTTCCAGCACTCTGGCCCCCCATCTCTCGTGGGCAGGAGGTACAGGCTGCCTTCCTCCTCATCTTGCTCCTGGAAATTGTTTTCATAATTATGTCTTCTGCAAAGGTATCAATATTAATAAAGGTGAGGGCAAGGTCCTGCAAAGACGTGCAGACATCAGGGCTCCAGCCTGACGCTGAAAAGGGGCTGAGGGGTCTGGAGGGGATAGGGCCTTGAGGCAAAGGAAGGTGACAGGGAGGAGTGAGGTGGTGTGTCAGGAGCTGCCACCTCCCTCGAGATGGCTGGGACAGCACTGGGATGTTTGTGGCCCCCCAGGACATAACCCCACCTTCCTCACATGTATTTCAGCCCAAGAACCAGGTAGCTGTCACATGCACCCCCCAGGAAAGCAGGGACATCACCACCACATCCCACCTCAGGACCTTCCATCTCTCATGAGGCTGGGGCAAATCAGCAGGAGAAGGTGCAAAGCATTAGAAGGAGGGTGCCTTCCCCAGATCTGCCACCCATCCCTTGTGTGACCTTGGGAAGGTCACTGGATCCTCCCAGCTCTGGCTATGGGGCGATTAAAATGCAGAGCATCTCCAAAGGGCTGTATGAGGACAACCATGCCCACGTCTGTACGAAATTCAGAGTCTCTGAACACGGGTATACAGTTGCCTAGGCAGAAGGTCAGTTCAATTCATACTACTTAGGGAGGCAGAATTAAATTACCTAGACTGACATTTGGCTAAGACATGGAGTTTAATGTCCCCCTGCTCATGGAAAATGCCAGGGGATATTTAACGGCCGCAAGGGACCCATTTTAGCGCTCGCCGGAGAGGCGGGATGGGCGGTAGGCCCCTCCATCCTGCAGGGTCTCAGCTGCCTTTCTGAACCGCTGGCTCTGGTTTGAGATGTGTCTAACGAGAGCCAGGGGTGATGGATAGCTTAAGGACTCGCAGTTAAGCACAAGGGTGCAGAGCCTTTAGGAAAAGCCTCTCTCTGTGGCTCTTCTCGCACACCGAGCCCTCGCTCGGGCACCGCAGCCGAAAACTGAGCAGGAAGAGCTGCCAGTCACCTCCCGGCCAAGTCCTCTTCCTGGGAATGCCTGATGATGCTCCCTCAGCTCTGCAGGGTAGTATTACATCTAGTTTTGTAGCCGCTTAACCAGTACTCAGTCTAATGCCCATCGTCCATTATTATTATTACTATTACTGCTTTTATTACGTTACTGCCTGCAGGCCCTCGCCGAGGACAGGGCTCTATTATGCTGGGTGATGTACAGCCAGACAGCCCCTGCCTCTCCCTGTGCAGGATAAGTGGAGGCAGACAAAGGCTGGGGAAGGAGGAGCACTCCTCCCTGTGTGTGGAGCAGGGACCCGGGAGGCTGCAGAGGATAAAAGACTCCTTCAAGGTCACATAGAAATTTGGGGGCTGGACGCAGCCCATCTCCCCTCACTCCTCAACTGGCCCCTGTGGGACCAGCCCTGTTGTTTCCCATCATAAGAACAGCGTAAGGAGGTCTGTCCTAAGAGATGTAGGTCCTCACTGGACTTCTGTGCAGGTCTGTCCTCACTGGACCAGCTGCCAGAGGTGCCGTCCCCTCTCCCGGCTCTTGCATCCTCACTGCCTTGGAGGGACGTGGCAGGAGCAGCTTTGGCTTTATGCTTTGGAGGGGGCTGGCACTGTTGTGCTTTCCAGCCTGGGCAGGAGTCCCAAGGATGAGGGGGGCACATGGGGAGGTAGCTGGGGCTGCTGGTTTTCCCATTAACCCACCGCACCGTTTGAAGGCTCGCCACAGCTGGGAGCACAGCCCTTTTGATGGCTGGGAGCTCCTTCTCTGAGCCAGGGCAGCCCTCCCCTGCCTGCCAAGGACAGTCTCCGACCCGCAGGAGTGGGGCTGGGGGTCACATCCCTTCAAAACAGGCAGGTGACTTCCACTTCTGCATCAGGGCACCTTTTTTTTTATGCTTTCCTGCAACCCACCACAGTGGCATCTCTCACTGCTGCCCAAGCATGTGTGTCCTACCTGGCACAACTGCATTTGGGCATCCCTGGAGCCATGGCTCCAGGCTGGCACATCAAAAAGCAGGGCCAGGCTCCCTGCACTACCCCAGGGAGTATCCCACCGTGTCCATCCCCAGCCTGGTGCTTTCCTTCCCACTTCCTCTCAGCAGAGCAGCAGTTCACAGTCATCTGCATTCATTCAGCCCAGCAGACTTTTGTTTTGCAAGCCGAGCCCGCTGAGCCAGCACTGGATTTATACTTTTCCGTACGCGTTTGGACTCCAAGTCCCTGTCAATGGAAGCTGATGTCCAGCCCGAGCCCAGGGATTCGAAGGGAGCAGAGGAATTGCACAGCCATCTGGAGTAGCTCAGCACAGTGCAGGCCACAAGTCGTCCCTCCTGCTGAGGATAAAGCTGCAAATGGAAAATTTTCCCCCATCCTGCCACAGAGAGGGGCCAGTGGGAGCTGGGAGGTGGCACTAGGTAGCTGTGGTCAGACCCGTGGGTGCTAGCTCATCAGCCACTCCCCAGGCCCCCAGGAGCACCCTCTGAGACCCGGATGGAGTGGGGATGGAGGAAGAAGTCCAGCCCTCTTTGCACCCGCTGCGGCAGAGGGAAGGCGATGTGAGGCAGGAGAGTCTGTCAGGGTGGTGGTGAAGATGATGGTGAAGGAGGACCGTGGCAGGGTGTGCGCCAGAGTGCTGACCAGGAGGGTTGGGGAGAGGAAGGTGGTGGTGGGCTACCTCTTGGGGGGAGTAAGGGCCAATTCTGGGTCCCAAAAAGGTGGCTGGCTGTGGCTTCATTTCAGCAGCCCCTGTGCCTAACCCACAGCCAAGAAAGTGGGTTTGAAAGTGTCAACAGGCAGGGAGGATGTCTTCCTAGAGACAGTTGCTGCAATGCCACCATCTTCCTGGAGCAGAGACGGCAACAAAGAGCACATACATGACTCCACTTGCAACAGACTGGCCCCAGGTCAGCACCTGGTCCCATACAGCTTCAAGCAGAGGGAGAGACGGTCTTTATCCGTAGGGCAGGGCAGCAGGCAGGTAGGCCAGCAAGGGAGCAGCAGGTGTGGTTCCCACCACCACCACCTCCTTTCTGTCCCAGGGTAAGTGAAGTCCCTGTGTGGACATCACCTCCCTCTTGCAGCAGGTGAATTCCTGGGGTTGGCATGGAGAAGACCTCTGAGTGGAGGGCAGGAGCTCTGCCAGGCAGAGGGGGTGTCCCAATGGCCCCAGCGTCCCTCCTGCACGCTTGGGAGTAGAGTTGGACACTGGCACCTTCAGAAGCTGCTGCTTGAGGTGGTCAGAGCCAGGGTACTATTAGTCAATGCAGAGATTCTGAGGCCAGGAGGGAACCATGGGCCTGCATGTGAACTTTTGAGGAGGTTAAGAGCCCTCTCATGAGATGAGGACTCATGTGCTTTGTTATTCTTGGAGTGCATATAATCCTCTTCCACCCTAGGCTCAGCTGTGCTCCCAGCTGCTCATGACTGACTCCTTCATGGCCACGATCAAAGGAGAAGCATGGATGTACCCAAATCTTGGTCTTCTTGTAGCTTCGTTATTGCAAATTGGGAGTTTGAGCTGCCAGGAGTTGAGTAAACCCTTGGTGAGGAGCAAGGCTTGCTCTGCAACGAGCAATGCCCTTCATCAGAGCCTGTCTGTGATTTGCTCCCAGCACTCTAAAAGTAGCTACAACTTCAAAGTATGTTGTAGAGCTCGCAACCAATTAATATTCGCTTGAAATACTTGTCAGAGAGCAAGAAAATGTCCCTGTATCCCAAAAGCAGAGCAGGGCTGAGCAAGAGATAGCTGGGATGGAAGGTGACTGTGGCAATCCTTTGCACTTCACACGTGTGATGTGCTGCCAACACTTTGAATCCCCCAAAACTCAGCCCTAAACTGAAGGGCCAAATGCTGTCATATAAATGCAAGGGAAGTGGGTCTGAATGTGGGTCAGACTCCAGGAACCAGGAGGTGCAAGGAAAGTGCAGGATTTGGGTTTGGTGGGCTCCTCGCCCTGACCCAAGTAGCCCTGGGGAGGAGGGATTCTTTCTGTCCTGGCCAGCCTCTTTCTGTGTGTCTCCAGCACTGTCATCTCCTTGATGGTGGTTATCTTGTGCCAGGTCAGCTTTAGCACTGACCTGGATAAGAAAAGGTGGTTTATATCTCACTAGTTTGGGAAAAGGATTTGTCCTGCATGTTGGCTGCTCCTCTTGGAAAGGAGATGGGGCAAAGCTCAGCAGCTGTGCCGAGGGATGTAAGGAAAGATGCCACATGCCAAGCTTTACCGGCCACCTTCTTCTCTTCCAGTAAAGCCGGATCCTCCAGAGAGCGTGGTGGCCAAACCTGTGCCCAATAACCCTCGGAGGCTGGAGGTGTCGTGGCAAAACCCCTCGTCCTGGCCTGACCCCGAATCTTTCCCGCTCAAGTTCTTCCTGCGGTATCGGCCCCTCATCCTGGACCAGTGGCAACATGTAAGTGATGCTGAGGTGGCTGGGATGGGAGGGAGGGGGGGAAGATGGTGGCCAGGAACAAGCTACACTGGGAGCAAGTGGTCAGGGACCTAAAAGATGTCTATTTATTGCCTAGGCAACCCAAACCCTTTTCCTCTCCTTCTCTGTCTCTCCTCCTTTCTCTCTTCCTCTCCATCTTTCTTCTAACTCGCATTCTGCCTACAAATGGCTCTGCAGGCTCTCCCTTCTCCGCGTTTTCATCCACGGCTCCTATCTACTTTCCATACATATGTTCTATATAAAACCTGCCAACGAGATGTAAAAGGCATTTAAAGTATAAATGTCACCACATTTAAATGCGCCTCTGCCACATTTAGATTTTGAACTGAAGATAAAATACCGCTCACCGTAACTCAGAGCACAGTCACAGAGCCATTGCTGCGATGTTATCGTATTTCTTACTTTTATTTCTTGTTTCTTTAAAAAAAAAAAATAGTCAGTGAGATCCTTGGCAGCCCGGAGGACAGATTTCATTTGTTAGCTGCAGGAAGATAACAAATGGGCTTTTTTTTTTTGCTTTTTTTTTTTTTTTCCCTCCACTCTGTGTGCTGCTTGCATGCTCGGCTTGTGAAGGAAAGCAATCTGCCACTCGAGGAGAGGTGCTGCTATGCTGGCACGGCTCATCCAGCATCCCCCCGGTGCCGAGATGGGCCAGCTGAAAGCCAATTAGGTGCTTTGCTTGGTAAAACATTTTGCTCCCCCCCAGCCCCTGCTAAAAAAAAAGACAAATAGAGGCAGCACCCGGTCACCAGGGAGCTCACCTGCATGGTGGAGCCAAGCAGGGTTTTCTGCCGACCAGCTCTTCTTGGGGAGAGAAACAGCTGAGAGAGGGGATGGGAGGCTTCACTTGTGTCTCTGCAAGACACTGGTGTCTGGGCAGCTTCTGCTTTTTGCGTTGGTTGGGGTTTTTTTGATGAGGCAGCGTCGCAGGTTGTGTTTCAGATTGAAGTGTTTTGCTGATGGCTTTGAAAATCAGAGAAGGGCTGGGAGAGGGTTTTCCTGCTTGTCTCTTTGCTCTTCACTTCCCTCCAGGGAGTGAGAGAGCATCCGTGGAGCACCCAGAGGGCTGAGAAAGCAGAGGTGGAGTTTGGGTATTAGTTTGCTGTGTGTATTTTTTTTTTTTTCACCTGGAGGAGAAATGCTTGAATTGTAGAAGCTTTGATAAAGGGGGAAGAATTAATGGGAAACACCAAGCACAACGTCAGCTTTTTCAAGGTGTGAAACTGCTGTGGAAAAACCTGGGTTTGCCCTGTCACAGCCTGCTCCAGCCCAGCACCCTGCAAAGGCAGGGGTTTGTGCCCAAAAATGGTGGGAGAGCAAGTGAGCTGGCTCCCGCCTCGACACCCTCACAGTAGCCAGTCCCTCCATCACTAGGTATTAGGATTCATATTCATGGGGTCAAACCTTGCCAGTCCCCTCGCTGCAGGACCTCCAAGGGCATGGTGTGGCCTCTCCATCGGTGATCTCGGGTAGGCAGCGATGGTGGAAAATACATGGAGGTGTTGGCGACACCAGTGGAGGGACCATGTGGCTGGAAAAGGCAGTTGTAGGGCAATGAAAACTTGATTTCTCCTATTTGAAGATACCTTGAGCTGAGGAGAGGGTTCGACATACCAACCCTCAAGGTGGATGCAAGGAGGGCCAGGCTCATCTCCATCTGCCTGGGAGACCACAGCAGTCCTGGGTTCCACTTTTAATCAATATCCCCTTGCAAGAGACGTGTGCTCCATCACTGGCTGATGGAGAAGTGTGTTTGGGGAATAATTTCCTCAGTGAGCAAGTGCAAGCATTCAGCGATTGAGGTACCAGCCTGGTTTTCTGACTCTCTGCCCTGCCGGCTGGGTAATGAGAAATCTGATTTGTGGATGAGTTGAGGAAAACTGCCACTATTCATCAGGTGAATTATTTGCAAAGCCTAATTCAATCAGCTTCCAAATACCAGGGGATGGCAGCATTTCAGCAGCCAGAGCTGCTCTGACCCCAGACCCACCTTAGCCCAGTCGGCCACCCTGGAAATGCAGGGGTTTGCACCCAAAAATGAACCCCTCTGACGCCAGCATGCTGGGAGTATGCCCAATCCATGCTGAGCTCTGCTTTGCTTGACCTATTGCTTGTTGGCATCTTGGGCGGTGTCCGTGTTCCCCCAAACCCAGCCAGGAGGGGGAAGGACATGGTTTAGTAGAAGCAAGCCCAGCTCAGACATCCAGCCCATCCTACAGTGGTGGTGTTGGGTCTCTCCTCAAAGTAACAAGTGCCCTGAGAAAGGGTGCAGCAGTCATGCATGCCATGCTTGCTTGGAGGTGTCTCCTTCTTCTCCTGTCTTCGAGGTGAAGGTCTCCTCCCACAAGCTGCCCCACACCTTGGCTCTTGCTGGCCCCACTGACTACTGGCATGGAAAAACCATTCCACACAACCTGCTTCCTGACAATGGGGCAGCTTGGGAGCCCAGCAGGGAGGGGAGAAGTCTCCTCTAGCAGCCGGGAGGAGCTGGGTAACCTCATGCTCTGGCACATCCCTGTGTCCTCAAGGTCCCCATGCTGAGCCCCATCCCTGTCTCCTCATGGCAACCCACCAGCCTTGCACTGACTGTGAGTTTTAAAGCATCTCCTGCCACCCCCTTGGCAGCCCCGCGGGAAGCGCAGCATCCCTGCGGGAGCAAACCCACAAAGGAGTTCCGGAGGCTGCCCAGAGCCAGGAATACCCGTGCAGGCCTCGCTCACACGTGGCATTTCTTGGCAGAAACAGCAGCTCCCCTTTCTCCCCTGCGCCTCCCGTTATCTTTGCAGGGTCTGATTTATGCACGGCACCTCGGCAGGCAGCACCGAATGAGCACTAATAGGATCAGATGGATGTCGAGCTGTCGAATACCGTAGGGCCTGATTCAATCAGCGTCTGCTTTCTCCCAGGCTCTTCCTTTCAGGATTTTAATAATGCCAGGGCTTGGCACCAGAAGATGAAGCCTTCCGTGGCGGCAGCGGTGGATCTTATCAAGACCGCCGCTGCGCGAGCTAGCCATAATTGCAGTTTTCACCCAGAGAGAGGCAGGAGATGTTTGGTCCGAGCATCCCCCACCATCAAGCAACATCTGGGGCCAGGGGGACACCCTCATCCCCTTTCCCAGCGTGTTGAAAAGATGTTTTTGAGCCCCAGCATGCTGCCTGCACTCCCGTTCCCCTGCTCAGCAGCGCCTTTCTGCTCAGACAGCACTTAGCAGCTCTCGTGTTGCAGTTTGCGCTGGGAATTATGATGATGTGCTCTGGGAATTATTATCATGGAGAGATGATGATGGTGATGAGTTTCCACATGAGCGTGCGGCAGGGCGTGCGCCGGATGCTCTTTGCACCGTCGTGCCACCTCGCAGCAGCAGCTCCCTCCAAACTGGGCATTTCCCGGCTGTTTGGGGTGCAGCCATTGTGTCACATCTTGTCCCATCGGGTGGCCACCGGCTCCCCTCCGCCCCACCAGCACTGAGCTACCTCTGAAACTCAAGCAACTTTAAAGGCACACTCCTCCCTTCCTGGAAGAGGGGCTGGTGGTTTCTCTGCTGCCAAAAGAGAGATGGGATATTTGTAGCCTAAACAGGTTTTTTATTCCCTCCTTTTGGCAGAATCTTCCCTTCTGTCTCCTAAATATAAAACATTAAATGTTTAGGGTATCCTTTATTTTTCTGCTGCTTTTAAGTTTGTAATTCAAGCCAGATTAGCGTGGTTTCCTCTTCTGTTTTATAGCCCCATCCTGGCCCCAAGCGAGCTCTCCTAATGCTCTCAGATGTTCCTCTAATGGCTTACCTAGGCTGGAACTGGATACCCTTTCCTAATGGATTGCTAATAGCCTGTTTCTGGTTTTACAGGCTCCTTCAGTTAACTCGCAACAGCAGCCATCGCCACGCTCATACATGCGATCTCCCCGCGAGCACGTCCGCACACTCGCCCCTAGATGCAAGCGGGTGGCACCATTGCCAGCACTTTTGGGGACCCCAGCCCAGGATAGGTCTTGCACCCAATTTTGTCCTCCCCTGTTGCATTTGCTGGAGCAAGATCTCCCCTTTCCCCAGTTTTTGGAGGAAGATCTGCCGCGCTGAGCACTGAGCAGCTCGGTGCACGTCCCGGGGACGTGGCAAGGGTCAGAAGGTATTTCTTAAGCAGTGTCAGAGCTGGCAGCCAGGCCAAGGGAGGATTTCCTCCAGTGGGTTGCCAGCAATTTGCAGATGCCGTTGCAAAGTCTAATTGAACCCATTGGCCGTGCTGACAACATGAAATGTTAACGAACCGTGAGGCGGGCTGCGCCTCAGATCTTGAGATTTGCAGTAAAAGGTCATGAGATATTTAAAGCTAATAATGTGGTTGGGTTCTCTCCTTCCTCTTCTGTTTTGGAAGCATTAGAGCCACATCCGTGAGCGTTTGCAAAGGCTGGAAGTATCCTTTGGAACAGCAAGCAGAGGTGCTCCCACCATCCCCGGGAGCTTGGGAGCTGGGGCCACAGAGTCCGTGATGCATCTGTGCTGGCTCTGCTGCTGAGCAGCTCTGATTGGGCAAATGATGGGGATCTGGGGACAGAAATGGGCAATTTGTGACTATTGCCAAATATTTAGTGGTTGGGGTTCATTGGTATGAGGAGGACATGGTCCTCTGGGCTGGTCACTGCCACTCATGTGTCAGGGGTGGCTGCCCGGGTAGGCTCAGGCTCATCTCCCGAGGCAAAGCAACATTTTTCGGTCAAATAGGTGAATCTCACAGGCTGCCTCTAGAAGTTCCTGCTTTGGGACAGCCTGAAATAACCTGAAAGCATGTGCTAATGCGTATCCTGCCCGCAACGGGCAAGGGGGAGGGATGGAGATGGGGAAGGCAATTAGTGGCACCGCCTGCCGCAGCTGCGTCCCCGCTGGCACGGTGGCAATGTCACTTTGCGGCAGGCGCGCTTCTTCGCGCCCATTTGCATCCCCCCCCCCATGCCTCTGCTGC